TCATTGGTTATCGCTGCTCCAGCACCTCTTCCACCCGCAGAAAAGTGACCTTGCCTTAGAAAAGATAAAAGACAAGACTAAATTCTGGGGGGAGTCATGCTGGTTGTGGAAGTCTCAAGGCCTCTTTCCTCTCTGCGTTGTGCCCTACCCGTTTCTTTTACCCGTGCAATGCATTGAACACTCTGAACGTCTGTTTCTTTGCAGGAAACTGAAGGCAATATACAGGTGCCAGCCAGGTCGGCTCTGGGTCTCCTTCAGCCTCCTCATCCTTCTCCTGGTCTCATTTCAAGTCGTGGAGAAGCTTCAGCCTTCCAGGTATGTCCCCGGCAGGATGGTAAACCTGCACCTCATCCTCCGGGCCTTCACTGGCAGTCAATACAGGCCCAAAGCCGCCCTCCTCAACTCCACCCAGCAGCGTCCTCCTTAGAAACTCGGGAAATTCGGGAGGAAGAAGCCCCCACTGGGGCTACCCCATCCAACCCCTGCACCCTGCTCAGATCCCCGTCAAACCAGGCCAGCCTCAAACCCCTCCCAGGCTGGAGATGGCAGAGGCCAACAGTCAGTACCCGGACCCGGCTGTGCTCCAGGGATGCTGTTGGCATCTTTGCTGCCTGGGCAGACACCAGCTCCTGCTCAGCCTCTCCCTGCCCAGAGCCTTGTGGCCTTTCCAGCAGAGCTGATCCCCAGCCTGCATCATGCTGGGTGTTGTCCCTCCTGGGGCAGGACCAGGCCTTCGTCCTCTCTGCATCTCATGGGGTTCCTTCTGGTCTGTTCCTCCAGCTCACCCCAGTCCCCCAGCAGCCCTTCAGCATCTTCCCGGTTTGGGGACACCCACCAGCTCCCCTTCATCTCCTCCAGGCCCCATGCCCTTCTCTTTTCTCGCCTTCCCTTGCTTTGCTCCTTCCCTCCAGCAGCGCAAGGGCATCATTGCGCTGCCGTTGTCCTACACTCACCCCGGCCTGGCAGTGTGGCAGCGCCAAGCAGCCAAGAGCTGCGCCCAGCAGCAGTGCCACCCCCCAAATAAGACAGGGCAGCAGGTCGTTTTCCCCAACTGGGCCCAGCAGCACGCTCTGTGCCCCCAACACGGGCCCTGCACCTCTTACTGCCAGCTCACCTCCTCCCTCTCACAGGAGCTGCCCATGCGAGCTGGAGCACGCCCTGCAGCAGACCACAGACCACGGCCAGGAGGGCCCTAACTACGCCCTGCACGCCCCTGGCCTGCCGAGGAAGGAGGATCGCCCTCACAGGCAGAGGAAGGCCATGCTGGAACCCACTTCCACTAAGAGCACACAGGACATTTTCCAGATGTTACCCCAGTACTTGGGGCAGATGACGCCGCAGGAGAGCACTCTGGACAGGCAAGAGGGGCACTGGACGTGGCAGCCTGCGGAGAGCAGCAAGAAGATGAAAGGCTACTTTTCACCCCCAAGGCTGAAAACCCACCTCCCCAGCCCCAGAAAAGCAGCCAGAGGGGAAATATCCCCGGGTCTTCCTGGAGGTACCTCCACAGCTCCAGGAGATGCTGTTGTTGGTGGTGACAGCAGCAAAGGAGTTATCTTTGCCAATGGTGTCATTGCAGAGGAGCAGGAGGGAACAAGGTCATCCCAGACACCACAAGTGACACTGCAGGGCCAGCCTCAGCCCCTAGGTTTCCCTGGCCAACTGTGGGACAGCTCAATTAAGCACATGGTGCTAAGTTCAGCTCAAGTCCCGCAGGCAGATGACTTTTACAGGACAGACCTGGAGAGAGGATTGCTCCCCAGCTGGACAGAAGTCTCCATGGATAACGAGATGGCCCTCAGGGGCATCCCACAGGTGGAAGGAGTCTTCTCTCAGGAGGAGATGTGCAAACCCAAGACCAACATCGTCTTCCTGAAAGTCCATAAGAGTGCCAGCAGCACTGTCATGAACATCCTCTTCCGCTTCGGTGAGATGCACAACCTCTCCTTTGCCTTCCCCCTGAAGGGTGGCCCGCAGCTCTTCTACCCGCAGCACTTCATGGCGAGGTTCGTGCAGGGCTTCTCCCCAGGGAAGCCTCCCCGCTTCAACATCCTCTGCCACCACATGCGCTTCCTGCAGCCAGAGGTAAGGGGCAGAGCCTCCGTGCCTCGGGAGAGGGAGCGGGGTGGGACGCGGGTAAAGCACGCCGGCCAGCCGTGCCCAGCATCCTCCCTCCTGGGCTTCAGGTGTGGATGCGGGGGAAAGGCAAGGAGACAGGACCACGACGTACCTTGGCCCCAGCCAGATGGACCAGCAGCTGCATGGGCACTTGTGTACCTTTCCCGTGGTTCCCCACATGTCTGGTGGAGGAGCTGCACCCTGAGGCCTCCCTCAGTGCCCCTTCAGCTCTTTCCTGAGCGAGTGTTTCTGCTTTTCCAGCAAGCAGGTCCATTCACTCTGCTCCACTTTTAAACATCCTTTCCCCCCTCTGCAGGTGCAGAAAGTGGTGCCCAGCACAGCCGTCTACTTCTCCATCCTGAGGAACCCCGTGCAGCTCATGGAGTCTTCCTTCGTGTACTACAAGGGCACGTCGGCCTTCTCCCGCGCCCACAGCCTGGAGGAGTTCCTCAGCCAGCCCTACCGCTACTACAACCCCACAGCCAGCGACAGCCACTACGCCAGGAACCTCATGACCTTCGACTTTGGCTTCAACCCCGATGGAGAGGTCTCAGCCAAGCGGGTGCACCTCATGCTGAAGGCCATTGAGGCGTCCTTCGACTTGCTCCTCATCTCTGAGTACTTTGACGAGTCCATGGTGCTGCTGAAGGAGACGCTGTGCTGGGACCTGGACAGCGTCGTGTCCTTCCCGCTCAACAGCAGGGACAGCAGCACCAGGTCCCCGCTCTCGGGAGCCATTGTGGAGAAGATAAAGGCCTGGAACAAGCTGGACTGGGAGATCTACACCCACTTCAACAGGACCTTCTGGGAAAGGATCGACCGAGACATCGGAAGGGAGCGCATGCAGCGGGAGGTGAAGGTGCTTCGGGAGAGGCAGGCAGAGCTGGCGAGGACCTGCCTGCAAGGGATGGGCAGCGTGGGCCCTAAGGACATCAAGGACTCTTCCCTGCGGCCGCTGCAGCACGGCAATGCCAAAATCCTGGGCTACAACCTCAAGCAGGGCTTGGACAAGGAGACAGAGACCATGTGCCGGCGGCTGGTGACCCCGGAGCTTCAGTACAGCAGCGCTCTCTACAAGAAGCAGTTTCCCCAGAAGCCCCCCCAGCAGACCCCCCAGCTCGTCTCCTCTCAGCGGAGCATGCAGCAGGGCAGCATCCTGCGGCACAGGCTGGAGGGCACCCAAAACTGAGCCACTTCGCCCCCTTTCCAGGCCTTGTTCTCCAGTTCCCTTCACTGAGGACAGCTGGGTGCTCGCCCCCTGGGCCTCTGGGGCTGCCCCGTGGTCAGCCTCGGAGGGACAAGACCTGCTGGAGGCCCTGGCCACCTCCATGCAGGCAGGACCATGAAAAAAACTGCTGCTGGGGAGCAGGACCCGGGGCAGTGGGTCCCAGGGCCTGTCCCCGACTCTCCTGGGGTTGGTCCTGGAGGTGGCAATGCAGGGGACGGGGGAGGATGCCCAGAGGCTGCGGCTCAGCTCAGCACAGGGCTGACAGCCCAGCTCCCTGTCCCGCAATGCTCGGCCCAGCAGGTGAAGCCGCAGCTCCCTGCCACAGGGTGGGTGCCAGGGGCACTCGTCCTGGTCTCGCCAGTGCTGCTCGGCATGAATTCCATGCCAGCATCCATGTGAAAGCACCACGAGGAGCCCCATCACCGCCCCGCAGAGCGGGGAGGCAAAGCGCGGGCTGCAGCCGGAGCTGGTGCGGGGCCAAGCTGTAAATCAGTGCTGCCGAGCTTGATTTACAGCTCAGGAACGCTTCTGTCTGTCCAGCTGCAGCTCTCCTCCACTACGCCTCAATGCTACTGTGCTGGAAAAGCAGCCTCTTAATTAAAACCAACAATGTTCACCGCCACTCCTGTTAAATTTCCCTTATTACATCACTATGCCCAGTCACTGATCTCCCCCAGCAGCCCAACAGATAGACACCTCCTTGGGAAAAAACAAAAGAAAGCACAAAACAAAACAGCTTTTTCCCCCCAGTTCTGCAGTTACGTGTCCCCATCGGATGCTGCACTTGCTCAGTGCCTTTATAGGGCTGGCATCCTGCCCCGGGGCTCACACTAGTACTGCGGTGCCAGGCTGAGGGTGTGCGAGCATCTCTGCTCCAGCCATCACAGCCCACCTCTTTGAGGGGCTGTAGGAATGCTCCGTGCACTGCCCCTGGAGGGGGAATTACAGAAATTAGTCGTGGTGGGGTAGTCAGCCTTATATTTCATAGCCTACTTTTAGCCTCAAATCAAAAGCAGAGCCAGAGAATCAATTTGGGTAAACGGAGATCGCCCTCGCCCCCCTCAGATCCTCCTCCAAGCCTTGGTGGCTTTGCTCTGGGCTCTGAAATAACCCCAGAGTCAAATGGTATTTCTTGTCTTGGCCAAAATAGAGAAACTCTGCAAAATAAATGAGGAGGCCCCATTTCCAGCATGATTTCCAAACCAAAAGAGGTTGAGAAAAAAAGAAAAAAACTGGCAAAGGATCTGAGCTTCCCAAATCCATTTGGCCAGGGACACGGAACCTTGAAGGTTTTGGTTTCCATCAGGAGGGGAGGGGACACCACATGCCCAGGTACCAAACTGGCATCAGTCACTGTCACTGCAGTCAGGCACCGCTTCCTTACTCACCATTTGCATCTCAGACAAATTAGGCAGGATCCGAAAAGCCACAGTGCTCAGCTCGGAGCAGGTCAGGAGCATCGTGCCCACAGAGTCCCTGCAAAACGCAGGGGTTGGGAGCACCACATTTGGGGACGAAGTGGGATGATCTCAGCCCCCAGTGCTCACATCCAGCCCAGCACAGAAGGAAATTCCCCCAAAACGCACACAGACGAGCAGATTTCTTTCATTTCTGCTCAGTCAGCTGCGCTCTGGCAGGAAGGACACCACTCACCTCAACGCAATCACATTTATTTCACGTCACAACGCCTCGTTTCCTTGGGGGCATTGCACGTAGCCACGGACAGCGGCCCAGGGCTGGGTCCCCCAACCCGTACCAGTGCCACGTCTGCTAACCACGGGCACCCTGTGCACCCCTTCACCGATACCTTCCTCCTCAGCCCAAGTTTCCAAAGCCTGAAACATGGTTACAGGTTTACACCGTTTTTATGGCTGCGGGAGGCACAGTTGGATTATTCCAAGTGATGCAACAACCTGGAGGCTGCTCAAGCACGCCCGTGTAGTGGTCCCTAGTTTCTGTAAGCTTCCTGTGTACACAAGACAGCAATTTGTACAGATACATTAGTTTCCCCCCCGGGGACAGCACTGCAGACTTGGGTGTGCAAAATCCTCCGTGCCAGGAGTCCCCCTCCCAGCAGCAGGGCTGCAGGGGCTCAGGCACGAGGCGCAGGGTTGCTCTTCTCGCCTTTCCCCTTCCACCGCTCGTCTCCACCCTCCGCATGCGCCAGCCGTGCCTTGGGTATCTTGTATTTGCTCTTCTGGCTGTAAAGCAGGTTTTTTTGGAAGAGTCTTGGGATGTTGCCTTGGTACAGCAAGAGGGCAGCGAGCATCCCTGAAACGAGAGCATATACCCGCTCGGTGCGCCCCACATGGGGAGCCTCTCCACCCTGCCCATTGAGCACTGGTTTCCAGGCCCTCGCCACAACTTTTCCCATCACCAGAAGGCAGCTCAGCACCAAAGTCCCCAGTGGCAGCACCCAGAAAGCCCCAGCTTTACTACTTTAAGGAGAATTTAACCACTGCATCCTCACCATGCGCACATCCTCGCCATGCGAGGCTTGTGTTGACCCCAACGGGTGGTGAGCCAAGCCAGCGGTCATCTGTCCCCCTTGAACTTCAGCCCTTTGCCGGGAGGAGCTGGGGTTGCACCCAGCATTTCTGCCTTGCAGCAGATGTGAAAAAACACCCGCTGCCCCCAGGACATCTCACCTGTGAGGGGCCCCAGCCAGTACACCTGGACGTAGTCCCGCAGGCTGCTCCCTGTGCAGGCGAAGGTGGTGGCCACGGCCAGGGCAGGGTTGAAGAAAGCCCCTGTGGTCATCACAGCTGCATGGGGAGGAAGCAGGGCCATCATCAGCCTCAGTCATCTCCTGGGGACAGGCACCTACGCCTGCAGCCTCATCCCTCAGCACCAGGGCACCCTGGTAAGTCCCACACGCATCACCCCAGGCTTTGCAAGAAGAGCTCAGTGCAAGACCAAAGGGACGCTCGAGGACCATGCTGCTGCTCCCCACGCAAACACCAACATTTCACCCACTGCTTAGGTGCCCTAAACTGCTGCCCTCACCCCCAAATGAACACCTCCCCAAAATAAGTAGGGAACAAGCCTTCTGCTAGTTGTCCTCTCTCAACGCAAGCCCTAGAGGAGGGATAAGGGATTGTTCTTCCCTCTCAAAGAGTGTTGTAGAGGAACCAGGGGCGCTGCTCACCTGCATAGGTCAGGAAGGTGACAGTGGCTGCCAGGGCAGGTGCCCGGTACACCGTGCGGCTCCGCCGCAACCTGAGAAGCACGAGGTGGAAGAAGAAAGAGCAGGCACCCTCCACGAAGGCCCCGTGGTAGAGCGAGGTGCGGATGGAGGAGCTGCACTCGGAGGCGATCAGGTTCTGGATGAGGTGGAACTGGGTCAGCTCCCAGGACCAGTAGAGCTTGGTGATGGCCCAGCCTGTCCCCACGCCCACGGCCTGGGCCAGCAGCTTGGCAGCAGTGGCTGCGGGGCCGGATTCGAGGAGCAGGAACTCCTGGAGAGAGACGGTGGGGTTGGCAGATGCTCCATCCAAGGAGGCGGCGTGAACCATGAAGAGGAGGAAGAGCAGCGTGAAGACCACGTCGGGGCCAAAGCCGCCACCCCACGGGCCAATCTCTAGCAGCATCCTCAGCTCCAGGCAGCTCGAGCAGAGCTGCAGGGACCCAGTCAGCTCCCCAGCAAGGCAGCAGTACGCCCCAGGAGACAGCAGCCTCTTGGAAAGCCGCCGGAGCATCTCGCATGTGCTCACAACCAGGAGAAAAAAGGCGATGGAGACGTTCAGGCCTGACATGGTGACAGCCCCCCAAGGGAAAGACCAAGCCACGCGGCTTTTGGCTTCCAGGATGGAGCAGGGAAAGCTTCTGCACCTCCGTTTTATAGCGCCGTGCGAAAGCAAACGTGGCACAGCCCAACTGGCACCTGCCCGGTGGCCAGGGAGTCCTTGGGAAACACCGCACGTGCTGCCCCTGAGAGCTGCAGGAAGCATGGCAACGAGCTCTTCCAAGAGGAGGAAAAAGCCCTCGTTGCTTTCCTACCTCAAGACCTGCACACACGAGCTGCCCTCCTCGCATTTTGCCCACCTCCCTGTGCAGGGATCGCTTCAAAGCCCTGCCTTGTGCCCCGGCACCCGGCTCTGCCACGCGTTCACCCAGCACCTGGGTGACCCAGGACTACAGGGCTCTGAGGGCAGTTTGGGGGTGCTGTACACCCCCTGCTCCTCCCCAGTCCTTCTTCCATGCTACTTGTTAGGGTTGCTTCTGAAAATGAGAAAACAATAAAACCTTATTTATTCCCCAACTCCCTACTTTTAGCTGAGAACGGGAGCGCAGCTGACTCCATCGTTTCCCTGCCCCTCTTTTTAAGAGAGGCTTTACCCTTTCCCAGCACCCTGCCCATGCTCAGAAATAACCCAGAGGCACACCAAAGTCTTTCTTTAGCCGGCACAAAAGCCTGGCTTGCACATGCTTCCCCGTCCTTGTCCCCAGGAACACCTCTCCTCGCTCACTGCCAGCACTAGCTGCATGCTTGCCTGCAGGTGGCATTTCAGTGACGGTGACATTTCATCCCCTTCTGCTGGTAACACACAGGGGAGGGACGGAATCTCTGCCAGCTCCACCAGCAGTGACAGAATTGCTGTCACCCTACAGAGGGACTCAAACTTCCCAATTTTGGCTCAGTGAAAAGTCAGCACAGACAGCGGCAGAGAACTCGCCCAGATCAACAAAAATCCCTCTCATACCAAAACATTTCTAGCTGCTGTTACAAGAGATCTGCCACGCATCGAGGCCTGAAGAGCAAGCGCATTCTTGTCCCCTTCCTCCCGAAAGCTCTGGCATGGAAAACATCACAACAGCCGTGGTAAAACTGGAAAATATCCAAACATCTCTTCCTTCCTTCCTGCAGGAAGGATTTTCCCCTTCTCCTTTTCAAGCATTTAAAGAGTTGTGCTTAGAGGCAGCAGCTCAGAGGTCTTCTAAACCTATTTCCCATCCGCTGCCTGCAATTACGGCCACGGCACATCCTGCAATTGTGTGTCACACAACCCAGGCTTGAGCAAGGGGCAGGAGGCAGTTGCCTATGAATCGGATTAGCGGGGTAAGTGGTGACAATGACAGAGACGCAAGCAGCTCAAAAAGCAAACTCTCCTAAAACACTGAAGAGTAACAAAAAAGCAAAGAGAATGAGGCTGCTCCCCCCACCACCCCCGAATAGGTAGCAGCTACAGCTGCATGCAGCTTCCTTAGGGTTATTTAAGGCGAGTTCACTGGGCAGGAAAGCCATTACCCAAACCCCATGAGCAGCCACCCCGTAGCAGCAGGGGCCAGGCAGCACAAACCCACCGCTGGGCTCCCCGCTCCTGCAGGCAGCCAGCCAAATGGGCTCAAGGAGAGCCACGAGGAATTTCACAAGAGCCAAATCCATGCAACACCCACTGGGAGGAAAAAATTAAATAAATAACAAGGTGGATCACCCTCAGCTGTAGGAATCCTGACTTCAAGGGAGAAGTCAGTCCCCTATAAGGCCCATGCCCAGCACAGAGCACCTGGAAAAGGACATCCAGGACGTGCCCTGCCACATCAGCACCTGCTCCTCTGATCATTACACCAAGCCCAAGCCATTACTCAGAAACCATTCAGAAAGCACCAGAAACTTGAGGCTGCACCAAGACCTACCGTCGGTCTGTTCTTCCAGTCCCCTCTTCCTTCCTACTGACTCATCTCCAAGTCGCTTGGTAGCGCCAGAGGCATTTTTGAGGAAGCAGAAGCCTGGTGGCTTTTCAGCATCAAGCAATTTACCTTCCTAGTGGGCAAATCCCATTTATTTATATCGATCACCCATCCCTACAGGCTGGTTCAATGATCAGGTCGATAGGTAAATGGGTTTTGAAATGACATCATGATGTGCTGGAAGACAGCCTCCCTGCAAGACGCTGGCTGGTGGGCAGGAGAGGGGAAAAGTAATGCCACCACTGCTCTCCCCCCTCACAACACGCTGCAGACAGAAAAATTAGTCAGAAATTCACTGCTCTCACTTGTTTGCATTTTCCTTCAAAAAAGTTTCCATTAGTCTGGACTTCAAAGCAAAGGAAAAGAAAAACATCTTAGAAAAACCTGCTTCCTCTGCACATCTGAGAGCAACGTCAAGAATTTAGCTGAGCTTAACAGCCTCACGTACCTCTCCACTACACGAGACAGGAACGTAAGATCCTCTCAGGGCTGACCAATACAGCTGTTTTTACTAAAAACAATCTTCTCAGCAAAACGCAAGCTTAAAAGAAAGCAAATAATGCAGCTGTCCAAGTCACTGGGAGCAGGCATCTGCAGACAACTGCTGTGCTTGTACACGAGCCACAAGAACCGCGCTGAAACCTTTTCTTCACGTACTACAGCAAAAACTAAATGGAAGTGACACTTCTCAGCCACTCTTCATTTAAGCAATATGCTGCTGGCACAGTCCAAATAATCGTGCTCAGCTCTGCAATTTAATTCACTGCAACCAACCTGCAGCCCTGGAAGCGAGAAGTCATTTCCTCCAACTTCACAGCAACACTGTGTGGCTTTAACTTGGTGCAGAATATTTAAAGTACCTGATCTTTAGCGAACTGATCAAAAAAAAGATGGAGGTGGTTTTTTTGTTTTGTTTTGTTTTTTTGGTGTAGGCCACCTATAAGCAAGTGCACATCAAGTTCACACAAGACCTACTTGTGTTTACCAAGCAAGGACAAGCAACTCCCAACTAATACAAACCATAACTAAGCCAAAATCCTGCTCACCTTAAAGCAAGACAAGTACCAATATCCAGGTTCCACTAAACACCTTCTCCCTCCTCTTGACAGCTTTTTCCCCCATAAATCAAATGCAAGCATCGCTTAAAAGTGGTGCTAGAGAACATCAGTTTAAATGCATAAAGGGTCAGCTATATAGAAGACAAAGATGCTTCGACGAGTTAATTAACCTGGAGAGTGCGTGCTTTGTGCAAAATGACATTCTTACATCTGGTTGAAAAGGCTTTTGAAGAGTGGTTTCTTCATTGCTTTTTGCCAGCAGCACGACCAAAAAAGTGGAAGAGCTGATTTTCCCGTAACACATGGGAAAGGCACAACCTGAGTCCTCGACATTCACAACCAAGCCAGAAACTTCATCTGGATTTCACCTGAACCAACCTTAGCCCCCAGGTAAATTCATTCTGGCGTCCTTTCCTTTAACCGGACTGCAATGCCAACACATCGCGGCATTTTTGTAGTTCCAATGAAAAGCACGAGCAGGTCTCCACAGCCTGCCAACAGCCACCACCCATCTCACCCCAAATCCAAGGTGAGCTGCTGACACCCAGCTCCTGTGCTTGGCTTGGTCAGTCAAACGCCGATCAGCGGGGACGGTGCTGAAGCTGGAGTCAGCTCTTCCCAACAGGCAGGCCAGCTCGCTCCCCACACCGCCAGGTTTATACACGCAGGATTGTGGATGATATTCACAGTCAAACAGTCCCGTTTGGAAAGGTCACTGCACCACCACACCACCATGAGTGCAGCTTACTGGTCCACCAGTCCCTCCCTCCCTACCAAAATGCTACCTTAAGGCGAGTGGGTGGTGAAAGACAACTGAGATGAACGAGGCCGGTCTTTGAGAGGCTGCTGCTTTGCTCCCTTCACAAAATAGCACAGGATCTCTGTGATGATGGGTAAAAAGAGGGTGCTCCAGGTGTGCTCTCCCCCATCGGTGCTCTGGAGGAGTAACTGACTGCCAGCAGCGTGCGGTGGCAAGGAAAGCTCGTGGTTATCACATGAGGGCGGCACACAGACTGATGAGTAATCAAACTTGAAAAGAAACAGGATGGGCTAGTGCAGCATAAAATGATATCCATTGTAAAGCAGTCATAAGAAGCTTAATGACATGATTACATTTTGCTAATCTCATTACGACATCTAAACATTTACTCTTTTCAGTTACTCTTGTCTCAGAAGGCATAAACTCATGACGGGGAAGGGGATGAAAAAAATGTTTTTTAGAAGTTTATTTCTAGCCCTGAAAGAACAGTTATTAAACAAAGTCAACAAATACAGTAGTTAATATTGCAGTAACAATTAAATAACATAATGGGATTAAATTACACAAAAGGCAACATTAAAATCTGAAGACAGTTAAAAAAAATAAAAAGAAAGCTTGCACCCACTTCCATTTCCACCGACAGTGTGAGGGACAGAGGGAAAACAGACCAGAGACACTTATTCAACGCCAGCTGAAAAGACCTTTAACAGTTTGTTTTGTTTTTGTTTTTTTTACTGCCCCCAGCCACCCCCTCTGACAAGGGAGCCCAGCATCTTGCAACTGCTCTGCCCGCACCTCCTGGGCCCCCCTGCACCAGAGAGCAGGGGGAAGCCCCCAGCACACCTTGCTACCACCCAGGCAGGTCAAAGTGCACATTCCCAGTGCCACGGTTGCTTTCAACGAGGAATCCAATTTATTCCATGATAACAAAAATCCCAGGAGTCAAACGTTCCCTGCACACACGCATGCCAACCACGAGCTACCCAGCCCCGTACACCCAACCAGTCACACCACAGGACGTTACGCTCCCTACGTATTGCCTGCAGGCTGGATTAAAATCCAATTCAGGATCTTCTGCTGGCACCTAGGCGAGCGAGACGTATGGGAATCCCAGCACTTGCAGAAGCAATCCCTTCCTTTTCAGCATCTGCTCAAACTCCAGCTATTCGCTATTTGTCTACCCTAGACAAGTCGAGCAGCAGCAAGTCTTAAAAATGCTCGTCTGCTCCCTCCAGGGAAAAAAATGTGGCTTGCTTTTTTTTTTTTTTTTTTTTAAATTTGCAGACTCATACAGCTGACATCATTAGAGAAGCATTGCCCAGCCACTAAGACACAAAAGTACGGCACAGCAACCTTCTTGAAGCTTTCCTTCCCTGCCAGCTCAAGTCACTATCCAGCTCATCTCTGACTCCAGCTGCTGGCAGCAGGTGGCAAGAAACATCACCCTTTAACAACACCACTGCTGCGTGGGGCTGGGGAGACGCACACTTCGCAGCTGCAGGGCTAAACACCGTGCTGGGTCACACAGCAAGCACCAAGATATGTTTTGTAAAACTCCTGGATCGGGCTAAGTCCTGTTTGCTAGGATGACTGTAAGCTTGGAAACCGTCTCCTAAGTACGCTAAATGGGACAAATTTCATAATATAAGTTTAAAACCATTCTCATTCATCAATAAAAGTGAACTAATAAGTTAAAATTACTTATGATTTCATGTTCCTCTATTTAAAAAAAATTCTAAATTTCTCACAAGTTATACTTATCTTACTGCCTAGTCTGTGCCATCAAAAAAAAAAAAAAAAAGAAAGAAAAAGGAAAAAAAAAGAAAAGCCCCCACCTTAACTCTAGCACAAGGAGTTTCACAAAGTCCATTGCCAGCAATGGACCGAGGGAATCATCAGTAAGACAGTTTGCTTTTCCTCAGCCAAGCCTCCTTGCTACTTCATTTGATCAGGAAGCCAGACATGTTCAAACCAGGGGCACTACCATTACAGTGTTACAGGGTCTGGGGCTTGCAGGACCTTTTGCCTGGGAAAAAGATTTATTTATTTGCCTGAAACGCGACACTATCTTGAATTTTAAACTGTAGCTATTCTCACACTTACAGCTAGAGGGATTTTATCCTCTGATGTCGTAGCTAGCGTCATTTACTTGGGTGCCTACCACACAAGAGCAGAACACAAACTGAACCGTGCGTGGCACTGCAGTTCCCTGCACAGTAAGGCATCTTGTTGGTACAAAGCCACCTCCGAGAAGCTGATGAGTTACACCAGGCATTTTGGGACCCTAGCCCTGCTTCCCCTCTCCCCTCAAAAGCACAAACAGGCTCAGCAGTTCTGGCTGGCTGCTCTCAGCTGGAAGTTAGTTTTGTCATACCTTGGCTACCAGTCCCCATGCAGTTATTTCTATCGTTATACGAACACTGACATTATCTGAAAATGATTTCTATCTTTTGCCAGCAACGTTTGTAAAAGTGTGCGTAAATTTTATTTGGGGTCCTCTGTCAATACCCAGCAAGTCTGTCCATCCCAGGTCCTGCCCACTGGGAAAGTGATAAAATCCCGGTAAAGTAATGGGTTATTCTTTCACAGAATCATTTGGCACATTGTAACTACAGTTAGTTCTTCATTAAACTGTTTGGGAAGTTGAAATGCATAGACTGCAGCGCCGAAAGTAGCCAGGGGGCACAGACTCTTTTACACTTGCCCCATTAACACTCCAAGAAATCAACCACTGAAGTCACTCACTGTCCCTCAGAAGGAGGCACTTTTTCTTGCATTGGATGTTCGACTTCAGCCACTCTGGCTGGCGTGTTTTCAGTGAGAAAGGATCAGCGTGACACATCAAGTCTCTTCAGCCTCCAACTAGCCAGCCAAATGAGCCCCATCGATGTCTGAAGGCACTGTTCTCCCTCCTCAGCCTCCGTCTTCTCAGAACAGCGCTTTGGCATTTCCAAGTGTTCATACTCTTCTGTTCGAACTATATTAAAAAAAACATCCTGCGTCTTCAGTGTCCTCATATCTGATTACTTGTTTTGATTTCATTAATACAAATAGAGCACATACAAAATTGGAAAAAATAGCTCTAATACTTAAATTCTGACAACACCATAGGTTGATGCATTATTCGCTTGGGGAAAAAATTACAACATATACAAAAATGTATTTGATACAAAGAAGGGAAATGTAAAATAAAAAAGTCAAAGGCACCAGCATAACTTCCAAAGCCAAAGTCAGAGAACAGATACAATACGTGTTTTTGAACCACCCACCACACCAAGCAAAATATCCCTTAAGCGTCTGGCCAGCAAGTCTAATGGGAAAAAAGAGCACACAGGAAGACAGCTGGAACTGTTTTCTTGCCCTGACTATAGTTGATCATTTGATCATAAATAAAGTATCTGACCCTTACCTACATATCCAAAAACTGACATCCAAAGACTTGACCAATCGTGAGGTTTCTACAAAGAGGCCACATCTTTGATTAAAAGTCCACAGAGCACAGGCATACGAAAAACAGTTGAATACTTCTCTTCCCCCTCTCTCCATACTCGTCTTAAAAAGCAAAATACATCTCAACATATTATGATTTCTTAAGTAGACAAGTTGTTAATTCTACAGTACAGTGACAGCTAGTCTGTAAAGGGAAGGAGGGGCAAGATGTACCTTCACATTTGTCACATTTGCCATGAATCTAGTTATATGGGAGCTTACTAGAGAGATTTAAAAGTAAACAGGTAGAGGGGAGGAAGAGGAGAATGCAAGAGATCAGCAGGTAAAATTAGTGCTGCTCTCTGAAAGCTTGAATCGGTCATTCAAGTATTGAAAGTACCCAGAAGGGTACAATGAACGGGAGCTGTTAACAGCAAAGTCATTAAAACCCTTAAAACCCTGGGCACAGTAAGTGGCATTTCTGGGCTGTCTGGAGAAGAAGAAAAAAAAAGAAAAAACAGAAGGGCCAGTAATTCAGTCCTCAATTCCTTCTGGACCCCAGAAAGGGATCACTCGAGTCACCACAATTTATTTTGGGCGTCTTCTGGATGAGAGTTTCTTCCCTTTTGCAGATGTTTCCCACCCCCCCAGCAAATCTCCTCCCTCCCCCCAGAAGTGTAACAATTTCATATATTATAAAGATTTGTAAAAAACAAACAAACAAAAAGATGGAGGCCGTGGCAATAATGTTAGCGGTTACTCTTCATTGCTTCTTTGGCTGCCAGGATCAGTGGCGTCAAGCTAGACAGAGGTTTGGCCAGTTTCAAAAAGGGATGCTGCCAGGAAGAGAGAAACACAGTAAATTAGTAAAAGACCGTTTAAAAAGCCACACAGCACTGTTCCATAAAAATAAAGCAGCATAAACACTATCAATGCACAGCTCCTGAAGGGACAGATCCAAAGAATGCAACAGTTCATAGCACCCTTAGCCTGCTAATCATTCCTTCTCTTCCCAAAAGAGCCTCAGCCTTTCTTTTCCAGTAATGCACCACAAAGAGGTTCCTTGGTCAAATGCCTTCCCTCAGTCCTACTGTGCTCACTTCAATGGCTCTCTTACAGTAAATTCAAAAATTACTAGATAATTTAGCAGTGGCAGAACAATGGCACAGACTACTGTCAGAAAGACTAAGTACAATCTTTGATGACTGTGGTTCCTCCCAAATTACTCTCCCCTGGAGTCCTCAGGGGAAAACACAAAACAGAAGAGGGTGTCAAGTCTACCTTGCCATTTATCAGAGGCATACCTTACAAGCGGCCTCCATATCTCAGGTTGTGATAGAAGCTGACTCTTACCTGTAACAATTCTTTGGCTGATCCTCTTTTCTCAACATCCATCTCCAAACATCGGTTTAAGAAATCCCGGAATATTGGGGATAGTTTCTCGGGGTTCTGCAGCTCTGGTGTGCCATTAGTTGCTATCAAATACAAAGCCTGCAAAATGAGAAATATCGTATCATCAAGCCAAGTCTTTAAAAGATGTCATACTGATTTGCCTAGAGGCAATTCCTTAGTCTAGACGAGAAAGGGTTCTGCAGTCTACTTTGCCTCCCCCGATGAGATGAAGAATTTTAAGAATGCCAGTTATAGGTAGCTGCGACCTATTCTTGCTAGTAGCAAAATAACATTCAAAATCTTTTGGCAACAGATACTTAAGAGATACATCTACATACCTTGGCAAAGAAAATATTAGACTGACACAAACAGCATTTTTCAGAACCTAATGGATTTACCTTCCCTAAACTAGCACAGAAGACTGAACACAAAGTCTACTGTTTAGTTTACAAGCCGGTACAATTGCTGTGCTTCACTTGTCTTCTGAA